CGCCCACAAAGGCGCTCTGCAGATACGGAAGACACATTTGAAATCAGCATTCTATGCTGCATCGATCGGTATGCAGCTTGTATGGTTTGGCCACTTCGACTTCTGACCATTCCCTTGTTAGCAGCTATTTGGCATAAACGTTCTAGCATTCGTTTGTTTTTCAAGCTTTAGTATTCCGAGGGGATTCACCAAATAGCTGCAGGCGCTGTTTAGTTTGGTCATTTCAGAAGAGATAAAAGATTTGAAGGCTTGTATAAGCAACTAACATAAAAATTTCAGTAAATTTTTTGGCATAAGCCGTAAAGCTCTTCTAGTGGTGACTTTGAGCATTTACTATGCCCAAGGACTTTTGTTATTTTTGAACACTAGTATGGCGCCAACAATAGTTGCCGTTTCGGATATCGGTTAAGCATGATGCTTCTTTAGACTGTCTCCCCTTCCCTGACAAAGAAGTATGTATGATATTGATTTATGGAGCTCATCTGGTTATTTTACTCCTATAACTCTTTCGTTTGTTATCCAGGAGGTGGTATCAAATTCCCCTATACAACGGCTAAGAAAACACATTTTTTGAAGTTATTAGTAATGGGCAAGACTAGCAGACACCATCACTCTGAACAAAGAAATCGCCGATACTTTTTCCAGCATCGTCAATCAATTTGGCAGTACAGAGCCATGTTCGGCTCAATGCAAGGCCAGAAGCAGCTAGGGATACTTCATATCCTCAAACTAAAGGTGAGAGTGCAACAATGTGCTCAACTGCGCCGTTTTATGTATGATTTTCTCACAATAAAACTGTTCATGACCTCGTTCGTAGAGGTGCTAAGCAGATATGGAATACAGATTCAAAATCAGCGTTAATTGCTTTTAATTATTAAAACGTCTGTTTCAGACGGTTGTCCATTCTCAGTTTGCTATCGCGCTTACCATTTGCCAGCTCCGGCTTCCTTTTCAATCCTAGATTATTTAATCACCAGCGCATCACCTCTGCTTCGCAAAGGATCGCACTGGTTCTACTATCTACATGCCTTATTCTCGTGTAATGACGGCACTGAAACTCACCACGCAAAGCTGACTACACGAATGAATTACAAGAAACTAGTTGGCTTTCCCGGTCCAGACCGGGCCATTGTTCTTCTGCACTGCGAGCACCCCCCCCCCCCTTTATATGTTATGGATAACTTACCCTGGAACATCCGCTTCGAAACCGCATCCTCGTGATTCTGAGATGAAAATGAGTTTCACCGCCCTCCTTTACATGACTATGGCAAAGTGCTCGATTAAACATGATAACCTTCAGTTTCTCAAAAAACGTAAACAAATCAATAAATCGATGGAAGGACGCAGTGAATCGCCGCAAAAAGTAGCCTAAAACCGTCTCCGGGGTCGAAAACATCGTATGCAAACTTTTAGCCCAATCGGTTGAGCGGCACGCGTTTCTATAACTCATATACCCTCCAAACAGACAATTTTGAGTTTTATATATATAGATATTACTTACTGTAAAAGCTTTTTCATGTAAAATCGGTAATTTTGCATGGATGAAACCTCTCGCACAAGAACGAATGCAAACTTGAATCGGTTTTGAATTTTTTGTGGCTTGCTAGTCGCCACAAGGACAGTAATCACCATGAGCTACATTCCTGTGCAAAGCGAGCGAACAACAGAGGAAAGCTACACCAAAGCGAAGCCTGAACGATCTTTCCAGATTATCTACAAAGCAATTGGCCAAGCAACTCATTGGACGTGTTCAGGAAACAAAACAAAATCGTGCACGACACTTTTGACACAGAAACAGCAACTCATCTAGAGCAAAATTCATTGAGGAGAAGAACACACACGCATAGAAACAAAGCAGTAAGCATTGATATGATAACGAGCACTCGGGCTGAATCTCAGATTGCCAATTCCAGCAAAGACAACCAACCGAACATGGAAAGACACTTGGGAGAACGTATTCGATTATGGCCAGAATGATGCCTGCAACCTAGACAAACATATCAGACATGGTCTACAGCACACTGACAAGTCATAAAGACTGACTCTGACGGATCAAAGACCACCAAAATCGGGGTATATAAAGGTAGCCCGCGAACAAAAGAGCAAGCGCCTGGAATCCGAAAAATAGCAAACAGAACAGCGGTCTGAATAAACGACGCCTCTCAAAACGAAATAGCAACCGTAAGAGCGAGAAAGCAAATGGCAACACTCTAAGCTTTCCAGCAATGTACATGACATCAAACCGACCCACGACGACGGCAGACAGCATGCAGGTGCAAACAATTCAATCAGTAGATATGCCAGGCTGACCATAGCACAAGCGGGGCACAATGTGAGCCCAAGTAGCGCAGCTAACGCAACATCAAAACAAATGTGACACCGAACTTGAAAACGCCGGATAGGATCATGATCAAGCCAATACTGAACCGAAAAGAAATACAATCGACGACACAACATAGCTATACACTGATGCCTGAGTAAACAAAAATGCTTTAAACATTGTACATGTATGGTTCATGGAGGGCCTTATCCCAACGGTGCTGCATAAAACAGTGTGCTAAGATCTCGTTAACGCAAAAACAGTAGAGTGCGAAAAATACAGATTCTTGTCCCTTGTCAGTCTGCCGATGAAATGTCTAGCATGAAATAAACTCATCAGATTGACGCCCTTCAGTGGTTCAACTCAGTTCAAGCTACATGTGTTAGCTTCCGGTCTACTAGGTCATCAAAATTATGTCACCGCAGCGGCAAGCATGTGACGATTAACAAAAATCGGATACGAGACCTGTTGGAGCCCGCGACGCCAACGTCATCGCCGGTCATTCGCAATCCCCAGATAAGAGCCGATGTTGAGCAGATATTTGACCAGCTGGAAACGATGCGCAGCAGTCAACGCAAGCAGCCATCGCATGAGTAACACACAGAAGACTTAAGCAATTTGAGCGGCATCACAAAAGCAAACGGAATGAAATGCCTTGTAGACGGGATGCACCGACGCCTGCTGTCATCCCGAGCCTGAGGGCCGCCCCTAATATCGAAAAATTGACCATTTACACAACCATTCTTTTTGGCGCCGTGTTCGTGAAGTGATAGAGCTCTGATCATTTTCGGTTTAACACGTTTCGGACCGGTGCTGCACATGGGAAGCACGCTGCTCTAAAGGATCTTTTTGACGTTTACAGGAAGTTTTCTTTAGTCCAAGGTTATCAAGTCAAAGGCCTAAGCTTCTACTTTTTAAAGACTTTGTAAGTTGTGCCGCCTATATTTGTTCAGGAGATATGAGCACAAATCGAACAACAGTTGCAACGAATCGCGGCGACGCGAACGAGGCGTGTGAGTCGCAACTATTCTTTGCTTCGATATCAAAGAGAAAAACCGTAGTATCAATACTGACGTGTATCGTTTACAACATGAATACTTTTGGATACTTTGGAAACTGAGTTCTTGTCTCTATATTTCAGAAAAGCACAGAAGTTCTTCTCAAGCGACAAAATTCAAACACTTCCAATTCAGTCAGAACTTTGGGTATGGAACTTATCTGAGAGACTGATCTCAGATGTAGCATATAGTACGAAATAAGGTCCCTTTGTTGGCTAACGGCTGAAAGTGCATTCTTTTTCGCCGCGCGCGATTTCGCGGTCCGAAACGTGTTAACATCCATCGTCAAACATATCTATGATTCTGCAAAAGAGTGGCACTGCATTTTGCTGGCCAGAAACCTAGTAGATCCGTTTGACGCGCAATTTCGAGGGATATGCTCAACGATCCGCTCCTGCTTTCGCATGGTGAGCTCTCATGCTGTAGCATGGGCTCACAAAATTTGTGCTAAGGACGTTGGCTGGAACGCATTCTACTTTCGTAACAGACAGACATACATACAATAATGCAAGCCCCTTAGCCCGTCATTATAAGTCATGGTGATCAGTCTTTTTAGGCTTTGACTATACTGTCATGCCCTTGTGCTCCTTTGATATCATAGGGAACGGTCATAGGTTGTCGGTGTTCGCTATGTTGTCGGGGTTGCCGAGGTTGTCGGTCGCTGTGAGACCTCATGATAGCCTCCACGTTTCGCGCGCTTTCTGAACTGTCTCTGACCCCTACAGCACCGCGAACATCGAGAACACCGAGAACACCTATGGTCGTTCCCATAGATTTCACCAATTTCGCAATCTAACCGGACGTCGATTTCGTAATTTCTTTTGAAATGTTCCCTTATTTTGTTCACGTTGTTTGTACGCTATTGATGTAGAACCTTTACTTTATGAAAGCGCATCACTATTCTAATCATCTAACTCTTGTTGTTTATCCTCTTTTCTCTGCAACAATGATCGGCAATTCGTTTGTGTTTGATAAATTAGCAACGAAGTTCTCATAAAGTGCCACTGTGGTACTCTCTCCAGCACTGAAAACCTTTCAACAATCCTTTCAACTCGTCTTTGGTCAAATTTTTCCAAGCTGCTGTCTTGTCTTTATTATCCCCTCCCCCCTCCTCCTCCCCTCACGCCATCGGGCGAGCTGATACAGAGGTGTCTGTGCACCCTCAAAGAGAATGTGCGCGTAAGCGCACTTGCTGAAGTTGCTGTCTCAGTAACCGGCTTATCCGATTTCGGCCTGCGCGTCCTGGTGGTCGAGTCAACGGTTTTCTTGGTGGGTAAGCGCGAAGATGGTGCGTGCATGACTTAGAGGCGTTGAGAAAAGAAACTGAAACTAAAATAAATTGATAAATCATGAAACTTAATGGTTCATATTTCAGACAAGATAAGCGAGAGTCGCTCAGTGAAGGGTAATTCAGGAAAACGATACACGTTTCGAGCAGACATGGTCGAATGGCAGGTGACAGACAGAGTTTGTTTTCTTTGAGAGTAAGTTCATGATGCAGTACCGGCAAAAAGTTTAGACCAGGAATCCATGATGATGCGACTCAAGCGGGTGGAAGAAAAACTAGAAATAGTTTTTTTCCTAAAATAGGTTCCTCTGTAGCAAATAAATACTGTTAGGGAATGATGCTTGAAAGGAGCCATCCCACATCAGTGGAGACTTGGCCAACTACCGAAAAAGCTGCGTCAGAAAAACTCAGTGAGATTGTCATTGATTCTTCTGACGATGAAGAACCAGCAGAAGGGAACGATTTTCCCACAAGCAGCAAAGCATCAACAGCAAGTGCGCCACCCGACACGCATCCAATGCCGCCGCCACCAATGGTCCGCCACCCCTGAGGGAATGTCAAATAGAGGCGAGTAGTGAAGAACCCACTAAGAAAAAGAGAAAGCGCCAAAGCGCTGTAATAAATAGTGGATAATGCCCCCGAAAGATGGTCAAAGTCCCCTGAGTAGTACCAGCCTGACTGGGCTATAGAAGGGGAGAAAGAATTGAATAAAAGTCAGTGGATGACATTAAGAATGATAGGATTATGAAAGGGTATAATGCAGAATAGGCTGCTGAGCAAATGTGTTGAAGGATTGTTATCAAAAGAGGGTATAACGCAGAATAGGTCGCCGGAATAGATATGCTGAAGATAAACCCGAAAGGTGAGAGAATATGAAGCCTAGATCCAGTCTGGGAATTGGGTACTCTGGCCTGAATATTTGTTTATATACATATGTACGTATAATTTGTACAAAAGAATATGTAATAGTAGTGCCCTCTCTAGTAATGGACTAACAATGAAGGAATTTTCTCTCATAATCCTGTAGTTAGTTCTGTTTTGTGAATGTATAATGCATGTATGTAGTGTAGAAATGTTGTAAATAGTGTAGCAAATAAATGAAACAAATCTAAATCATTGTCATTCCTAATGATGCTGTAGCTGCATCATCATCATCATCATTGTAACCATCGGGTTACTAAACCTGATAAAGAGGACTAAAAGGTGGATCAGACAATGATCCAAGAATAACCGACGATGGAGATCCACCCGTTTTCGTTTGTGCCGTGCGTGTCGATTGTGGTCTTTACTTGCAATAGAGACGGTGAGTTTGCGGTTGCCTTCACGCATGGTCGCAAGCAGGACGAGGGGTATCATCTGCAGGTGGGTCATATACTTAGAAGGAAAAGTGTGGTCATGGGACCACCATGAGATTATGCACGCACTGGCGTGCTGCAGAAGATTTCACAATATTACTTCTTCAGCCATCCCCGGCTGATTCTCACCGTAACTTAGGCGTGCAATCAATTGTTGGTTGTGGTCCGGCAGACATACTGCGCACATGACGCCTAATTGCACGTTGTGGCGTCGCTATGTGAAAACGGTTTTTTTTTGTTTTCAGTGCAAAGCCGAGCGATGACCGTGTTGATAACGTGTATATGTTTATTTTTCCATTTTTAGTCGGACCAAGTAGTCGAAACCTGCTCGTCACTTCGATTCCGCATAGAAGAGGGCCGACAACAGCTTAACAACTCATTCTCGCAGAACTGCTATTCGAAACTGGACGCGGAAACTGAAGCTGAGTACAAAATACCTCCCAACCGTTACAAAAGTACTGAATATGCATGCTCATCTTATGAGTAAGAATATCGTTCACGCGTGTATATGGCATCCACAGCTTCCTCAAATATTTTTTTGCTTGCTTCAGATATTTTCGTTTCGGCATCTCTTTCTCACAAGCTATTAAGGTCTACCGTTTTACCTCGCCACGGGTGATCCGCAGTGATGTGCAGTCCGTGCGATCAACGAACTGTCTATACAAGATGAACCTCGCTATGCTTGTGGTGAAGCAACTGCTTGTTCGGTATAACCCTTTACAACTCTTGATGGAATAGTTTGGCAGTAATTGCAACTCTGCTGGTGCAATAATACTCCATTATGTGTTCATAAGCACCCTCTACTTGCGCTGCAGCACTGTCTCTTCTCTTAATAGTGAACCGCGACCGAAAACATGTACTTCTAAGATACACTACGCATAATCACAGTAACCAAATCCAAAATTTACGCTTACTTGAATCTGTGTACAAAAATAGTGGAACGTTTCTACCAAATAGGACAAACTGTTCATGAAACTGTAGAATAATTTCATAAAATCGTCGTTAATGTTTGAGAAACAGAGGTTATGACATCTGCAGAAATGTACGACCAAATCGGGTGAAATACTGACAAAATGATCAATTGTAGAGGTAAATAACACTTCCCACGCTGATTACAAGTTGTAGTTTAGTTGAGTCGCTCAAAAGGGCTTCTACATCTTTCACCACTCCTTTAGGTCCTGTATTTGGTCCATACCTCTTCACAGCTTTTCCGTCTTTATCAACCAAGAATTTAGTGAAATTTCACTTGATTGCATCAATGAGCGTGCCCCTATAAGCTAAAACTCAATTTTTGTACGACAGTCTCTGGGAAAAAGAGAAAGTATGTCACTTGAGAGGTGTGGTTTGAGCGGTTGACCAAGATGGTACACAGTTTATTATTGTACAATGGCCTACGTTTCGGCGCTGTCGCCTTCGTCAGAGCCTGGAAGTCGAACTTATCAGAATCTATTCCCTCAGACGTCAACAAAGGACACAGAGTACTATTCGAGAAAAAGCCAAAGAAAACTCAGTCAGAGCAACAAGAGCAATACTAACCTTAGCCAGAAGCAAAACGGAAGTCGAGAGACCGCCGTGTATGCAAGACTATGCCTCAGGTCTACTTATATATGCCGTTGTGACCTGACCTCATATTCAAATCCGCATAGGGATTGATATGGCGCCAGTTCCTTAGTGATAGCGATACACTCCTCCTTTCTATTCATTTTTGGATTTTTGGCGTTTATCCAAAACGCTTCCAACGTTTTGCGCGCAAGGATCTCGGGTTCGAACCATAGTTGTGATAGAGGGAGTTATGGATCTTACCCCCTTCACTTTGAGGCCAAACTCCCGATGACCCCCTTCACCTGGGCTGAGATTGGTATTGTACTCTGAGAATATGATAAAAATCGTTATTAAAAGGTTTTGCAGGCTAAGTACCCCAAACAACAAGTACACTCATAAATTTACAAAAGAAACGGTATTTATGTTTATTTATATTATTTATTTATCCTCGTAGCATTCATTTGGAGAGCAGAAAGTGAGGACAAAAAAGCAGTTGGTTTTTGGAGTACATAAAATCCCTCATATCTCGCGACACAGAAGACCTAGAAAAAAGTCGACGGTCTACGTCGATTCGCCATGATCTCAGCTTTCGAATGGTATACAGCATGTTAGGGCTTCTTTGCTTCCCGGCTCTAAAAATCATTTGCTCCGGTAACCGATAAAAGCCAATACATTGGTGGAGCTGGGTGGAGCAAGCTAATAGTAAATATCTTCACCTCATTTTTGAAAACTGTTTAGTTTTTTCGCCCAGCAACCTATATACCATTCGAAAGCTCAGGAAAAGGGGATTCGACCTAGACTGTCGACTTCTTTCTAGCCCCCCTCTACCGAGAGATACACCGCATTTTATTTGAAAACATGGTCATTTTCAACAGCAGATTTCTGCCAAATAAAGACCTTATCACTGCTGATTATCTATCTGTGTTAAAGAGCTCTTCATTAACAAACGTAGACCGTCGACTTTCTCGCAGAATTCATTTGGAGAGCAGAAAGTGAGGACACAAAATCAGTTGATTTTTGAAGCACATAAAATCCCTCACATCTCGCGACACAAAAGACCTAGAAAAAAGTCGACGGTCTATGTCGATTCGCCATGATCTCAGCTTTCGAATGGTATACAGCATGTTAGGGCTTCTTTGCTTCCCGGCTCTAAAAATCATTTGCTCCGGTAACCGATAAAAGCCAATACATTGTAAGAGCGAGGTGGAGCAAGCTAATAATATAAAATGTGCTGTGGATTGACATCGTTATCAGCACTAACGGGAACGCGAGCGAACGCGTCTATTTAAGCGTGCTTATCGTTTTATATGTTTATGTTTTTTTTAGTAAAAAATGCGCTTTTGATTGACAGTTGTGGCATCATTATCAGCACATACTCAAAAAAAACTATGGGAGATTGGTGAATCTCCACACCTCCACACGAAAACCCGCCCATTTCTGGAATCTATACTCTGTAAAATTAGTGCTGAAGAAGGTCACGTTCGTGAAAACGCTCTAGACCCACCTAATTGTAGAGAATGGTTGGTTTTAATGAATCAAAAACTTTGAGGCATTCAGAAGAACAACATGTTATTGAAATATCCTTCGATGTTTTGGAAAGGTTGGCAGTTTGAAGAAGAAGCGGCAGGCAGAATACTTTACAAAATCGCAGATGACTCGCATGTGTTTCAGTTCAACAGCGAGGCAGAAGGAGAATCTTACAACGAATATGTTGTCGACATTGATACAGAGTTGACATTTGAGCGAAACTCTCTATTTCGTACATCAGAAATCCATGCAGATTCCCTAGTCTCAATGAGGAAATGTCCAAGAAGTCCACTGCTGATCTTCAGGTTGCTGAAGATTTCAAGGCTGCTAAATTCACGAACGTGGATATGAACAAAAGGAAGGTGTTAGTACAAAGCATAGCTACTGCTCTTAGATCCCGACTGGAGTACGAACTTAACTCTGTGCTTGATGCTGCTGGAAGTATCTCGCCTTGTGACAATATGACCTATGATATTGAAAAAAAACCAACGCGCAGCATAGTATCTACTTTTTTCGGCTATTCCGCAGATACTGTTCAAGAAGAAGTTGAGCGGCTTTCTCGTCAGCTAACAAGACGTAAGCCAGAGGAGGTGAAGCCAGAGTTCGACAGGGCCCAAAAAAGTATGCAATATTTACTTCCTGTGTTGCGAAAGCATATGCGATCTGGCTCTTTCCCCATTACTTACCGCAAAAATCTGATAGGCTTACTGCAAAGCTAGTTCCCATTCCGACTAGCACGGCAGAGGTGGAGAGGGGATTTTCTATCTACTCTGTTATCAGAACGCAACGCAGAACTCGTACAACGGTAGAGCATCTAAGCAATCACTTAAGATTTGTCAACCTTCTACTGAACATATTGTTACCCAAAAACTTCATTTAAAGGCAGTACATCGGCAGAATGAGACCCGTGACAAAACAAGGTCACAGGGTAGGAGCCCCCATATGGAATCTATTGGCCAAAGTCCGATCTTTCTCTGCCATTTCTAACCCCCGAAATTTCAAAGCGAAAGCAGCGTTCATCTCCTGTCCTCTCCGAACCCGCCCACCCCATGGACGAGTGAACACGAAGCCCGTCATGGCGAAGACGCAGAGTCGTTGCGGGACCTCATGCTTATAGCATTGCGGCTGGCGCTCTGACCGCGGAATTCACTCGCCCATGGGGTGGGCGGGTTCGGAGAGGACAGGAGATGAGCGCTGCTTTCGCTTGGAAATTTCGGGGGTTAGAAGTGGCAGAGAAAGATCGGACTTTGGCCAATAGGTTCCATATGGGGGCTCCTGGGCTGTGACTTTGTTTTGTCACGGATCTCATTCTGCCGATGTACTGCCTTTAAGGAATTGCTATAAGTGGTCCAGACGGGGAACGGAACTTACATACACCATAAGGTTGCCGCTGCCTAGTTAGCGGAGTTCATAAGAGGTCATGAACTGGCAGCAACGCTAATTTGCCCTCAGTTTGCACAAAAGATGAGCTGATTCTGCTCACGGTAACTCCGTCATCATCCTGCAGCCTATGAAACCGGAATTTCTTTGAAATTTGAATTTAAAGTTCAGTAGTTAAATCAGTCCAATTAGGGCAAAAACTTGTATTCGGGTATTCTATCACGCTGATCCCGAATATGTTAATCGTTTTACTTGAAACCTAGGACTTTTTTCTTTTTTGAATTGAAACTTGTTTTCACATATAAAAAATTCAAAAGTTCTATGTAAGGGTTTTCTGACAAGCTGTTTCCGAAGAAGCTGATGGTTTTGCTTGAATAAATAAACTGTAAAGGAGTACACGTTACATTCGAAACACTGCTAATTAGTCATTTACTGCTAAGCAGATACATTGCAAGATATTGAGGTTTCAAGCAAAACCATCAGCTTCTTCGGAAACAGCATGTCAGAAAACCCTTACATAGGATTTTTGAAATTTTTATATGTGAAAACAAGTTTCAATTCAAAAAAAGAAAAAAATCCTAGATTTCAAGCAAAACGATTAACATATTCGGAAGCAGCGTGATAGAATACCCATAAATACAAGTTTTTGCCCTAATTGGACTCATTTTACTTTTCTCTTTTTCTTACTGAACTTTGAATTCAAATTTAAAAGAAATTCCGGTTTCATAGGCTGCAGGATGATGACGGAGTTATCGTGAGCAGATCAGCTCATCTTCGGTGCTAATTGAGTGCAAATTAGCGTTGCTTCCAGTTCATGACCTCTCATGAACTCCGCTAACTAGGCGACGGAAATCTTATGGTGTATGTAAGTTCCCTCACCCGTCCAGACAGGCTGCCATCGTATGACTTTTTGAAATATCCTAAAAGATGGTATGAAGAAACTGGTCAGCTACCTGCTGACTTCCTGGTGCTACCAGAGGGCCAGGAAAAAAACACAAAAGCGCTTAGAAGGAGAAAAACGTTTAAAATCCATTTTCGACTCGGGGCGCTTTTTGACGCAATTCTACTTCTACTCCGATGATCTTTTGACAGAAGAAGAAGATCTTTCAGGCAGCGAATTTGTTGTCTCTTACGTTAGCGATAGTGATATTGTTGATGATGACGTGCAGGAATTGTAAGTTGTTCCTAACTTGTACATCTTTTGGGATACCTTATTGCTTTCGTTTTTTGTCGATGCAATGAAATAGGAGCACAGATCTTCATAAAGTCAATTTTTTCAAATTTATTAGGTTGAACCGAAAGTTCTTTCGCACCAAATTCAAAAATTCATAACTTCTAAATTTTTTAGCCTATTGGAACGCTCTTATTTTTTTTGAAAGAGTAAGTCGTGCTCTTTGTAACGACTTCTTAGATGCTTGCTAATGATCTGTTGCGTAGATAGGAGCTGTAGAAGAAAGTTAATCAATTCGAATTTTCTGTGTAGGGTCATAAAAAATCGAAAACTTGCAACAAAAATCGGAGCAGTCGGTATTGTAAGTTCTTTCGCCAGTTCTTTCTAACAGTGCAAAGTTTGTGCCGATTGAGCGTTTCTATGAAAAGTTACAATTTCCCTGAAAAATGCCAAAATAAACCAAAATCATCTTTTTGTATTGCTTGCTCGAAAATCGTAACTTTTCATAGAGACGTTCAATCGGCGCAAACTTTGCACAGTTAGAAAGCTGGTGAAAAAAACCTACAATACTAACTGCTCCGATTTTTGTTGCAAGTTTCCGATTTTTTATGACCCTACACAAAAAATTCAATTTTTGACCAATTTTCTTCTACCGCTCCTATCTGTGCAATAGATGATCATCAGTAAGCAGTTGATGGTTTTTATAAAGAGCATGACCTACTCTTTCATATTAAAATAAGAGCGGTCCAATCAGTTGGAAAATTCAGAAATTATGAATTTTTGGATTTGGTGCGAAAGAACTTCCGGTTCAACCTAATATTATTTTTTTTTATTCTAGAAGAAAATTTTCAATTTGTACCTAAATAAGGTACAAATTAGAACACTTCATACCACGCTTTTTTACCTTTTCTCTCTCCCTCCCCCCCCCCAGGCTCACATACCCCCTTCACCTGGAGGGTCGGAAACAGCCGAGACCCCCTTCACCTGGGGAGAGCCCGGCTTCCCCTATCGCACCTATGCTTCAAAGTGTCAATCTGTCCATTTAGCTGAGGAATGGTTGACATTATGTATCTTACACGTCATCATTGTCACGAAAAGTCGCTTTTCAGTATGTCAAAACGAACCAAGATTTGTGCTATAGGCTACGTCTTTGGTCTCCAACTGCGTTTTCAATCGATAACTGATGTGCCTAGTAGGCAACTCATCTGTTTTAGACATTCTAATATTAGGTTGGCACATAAGTTTTGCAACTTCTCCCACAACTTTTTTCTTTTTCGATGTGGTACTCTCATTCTTTGGCATCATGTAGAATGTGACGTATGCTGCAAGTACGCGCAAACCGTTTGAATTTTGATAATTACTAGAAGAAATTTAAGAATTCTGGGAAACTGTTGAAAATTGAGGTTTCACGATTTTCAGCAAGCACGAAGCCGTACAAAACCTGAATCAAACATATCATAAAGGTTATAGGCAGCATGTAGTTAGAAATTGATAAATTAGAATCAGTGAAAAAAAGTGAGATTCAGAGACAAATCAAGAAAAAGCACCTTGAGATAAAATAAGTCAAACGCGTCAAATCGGGTCTGTTAATAACTAAGTTGCAAACCTCAGAATTGGCTAAAACCTTGCACAGTGGGTTAACCCAGTACAGTGAACAATATCATATTCAACTGTCGCTAAGATGAATTTCATTTTTTGACCTTATGAAAAAGCCTTTTCATGCGAGCGGGTCTCATTTTTTCAGCATGTCGAACAACCCCTATAGGTCAAATTTCAGCAAAATCTGACGCAATCTAAGATATTTCCCATGGTACGATAAACGTACCGTAACCTTTAAAGCTGGAAAAATTCGGCACAAATGTCTGCACTTGCAGTTTACATCATAATCCTTATCTGCCAGAAAATAAATGCGCTACCTTCAAAAAGACAGAAGTTACAAAAGCTGCATTACTTATGTACGTACCCTACTATAAACTTGCTCGTCGTATCGTTAGAGAACTCTAGTTGCATTTTTGCAAATCGGGAAGAACGCCTACAACTTGGCCGAGAGCAGACTAAACGCTGGTTTGTTTACAATATATCACAACCTGAGAACATATCAAACACATCCCGTCAGGCCTCCTTGAATATACAGGGTGTCCCAAAAAAATGTATCGAACGTTTGATCGTTAATATCTCTCTTCCCAAGAAGTCTTTTGCCTTGTTTAAGGTACCGTTTTGTAAGGCTGGCTTCAACTTAGATTTGCATTATAAAACGAATCACCCATCTCTCTTCATTACTGTAGGATTACGGTAGAAACTTGAAACATATGGTGTCAATGTGGAAAAAGCTGCCGTTTCAAAATTTTTCAGAAAATTGTGGAAACTTGTGTAATAGGGTTTTTATGGACGCTGAGTTCAATACTCAACTATTCACAAGATTACGAAGCTTTCTAAACGGTGTAACTGCACTTTTTAGGAACATTGAAAAAGTGGCCGCTACCTCCTACCTGGGATAACTCTTTAATGAAACATCATAATAAGTTGGGAACTTTACAGTTATGACAAGCAACTCTAATTAGCCTAGTGTAAAAGCTTCCAGGCTGTTTTGTTTCCTTTCTGAGGCAAAATTTGGCGTTTCATTGCTTAAAACCCTCTTTGAAGTTTCTACCGTAATCCTACAGTAATGAAGAGAAATGAGTGATTCGTTTTATAATGCAAACCTAAGTTGAAGCCAGCTCCACAGATTGGTGCCTGAAACAAGGCAAAAGACTTCTTGGGAAGAGAGATATTAACGATCAAACGTTCGATACATTTTTTTGGGACACCCTGTATTTCTTGTTATCATCAAAGAAGGACACCAGTAAGTTAATCTTCTACCGTATATTCTATTATATACACTCTGGCTTAAGTTGTGGAGAAATTCTGTCATTCGAAACATTATTGAAAAAGCTAATAGTTCAAATCTTTTGTTGAGGGTGTCATTCAAATTGTATTCGTGTTCGATTTTAAGCCAACCCAAGAATAAGTTGTCCAGCACGCATTAGTCAGATGTCAAATGTCTGTAGCATTCCCTCAAAACCTTGATCTAATTGATGCCCACAACTTTTGCTTTCTCCATGAAAAAAGTTCCTTGTTTGGTTGCATTAGATGGAAAAGTGCGACAAGATCTATGTGGATTTACTAGTGCTTGTATCACGAACATTCTCCTCGATAATAAATGTAGACTTGGCATTCTATTGAACTGGTTTGCTACTGCTAACACTGTTACCAAAATCTTTGTGTATACTTTTACGTTGGAGGCACTGAATTCAATTCACCCACACACCCAAGACATACGACATCGAGTCAATGTTAAGGTACTATTATTTACTCCCCTCATTGTCTGCTGTCTGAATGTAGCGAGTCTGCCCCTGAGGTGCAGCAAGAAGGTCTGACTTACGAGTTAGCCCAGCTAAAGCATGTCAGGGTTCGTTGCCATCTACCTGAGAATGCGAGCTGAAGTCGCCAGGAGGCAAGAACCTCATTGTCATCCAAGAGCGGCGACTGCTCCTACAACTCAGGCCTGGAACGCCCCAATCCGGCAATCTACGATTCAGTTGATATTAAACAGCTTTTTGAACTTTAAACCAGTTGTTTATTGTTATTGTTTATTTTTTATTATTTACGGCAAGCGTGGAAAAATCAATAATGGCAGTAGAATAGTAATAGATGAACGTGGTTTAGGTATGAAAATTCATAGGCATCGATTCATGTATACAGATTGTCGTGAATTACGATTATACATCAAATCAAAAATTGTGTAAATCATGATTTTGTAAAATGTTCATAGTTAATCGGCTAACATGCTTTGCTAATTACAAATCTTGCACTTTATTATTCAACTCCTACAAGTGCATGCTTGTTTTTTAATTTCAGTAGATGTGATTGATTTCTCAAGCTCCGATAAAAAGAGCACTTCGCGCTGATTCTAACTGTTGCATAAGAACTTTTATCTTTGAGGCAGAGAATTATCCCGAAGCTCCACATCTGATTCATTTCAGCTTCTTAAATCTCTAGTATTTTACCATTCAACCTCCTATACCTCACTTATTCAATCATCGGTGTTTTACTCAAGAAAATTTCAGACTCTATTCGCGACTCATTTATACTACTCATCTACATTTAATACCCTTACTCTCATATAAACTCAGTATTTACATATAAATACTCGTTGATGTGATTATACGATTTTTATGTTTGCTGATAAGATTTGATTACCCGAGTTTGAGATCTGCTATCTCTGTTATCTAGTTTGAGATCTCAATACGTGGGGATAATTTTGTTCAAAGCGAGCGCACCAAATAAGTCAGTCATGTCAAGTAAATCACTCACCGTAGGTAGGGCTTTAAGTCTTAAACAGATACTTGAATGATTTTTTTTCGAATTTTTAGACATTCAGATAAATCATTCGAACATCTCTGTGTGGTAGACGTCCAAATTGTGTCAAAAACGAAACATTGCATAATCGTGTACGTATGGATGAAGGCAGGCATATACTGGAATTTGTATTCTGCGAGTTGTAACCCTTAGAATTGACTTTTAGGTAATCTTTAATGCATTACTTTAGAGGTGAAAAGGTTTCAGATTCACATGAATGAATACAGTGATTGAAGTTTTCAAAAACTTGGCAGATTCATTAAACTTCTCTTCAGAAAGCAAACGACAATTTCGTCAATGTCTGAAAAACAACTTTGAATAAAGAATGAGTAAAACAAAATGATTAGATGATCATACACACAAGCATTAACGAGTTGGGAACTGATGAAAACGAAATGAACATAACTTGAGCAAAGTATAATGACTCACAAATCGGATTGCATTCAAGGATCTCGTTCTTCAACCGGATGGGGAACAAAGATAAGATGAGAAGGATACAGTAACCCTTGAATGCTCGAAAAGGAAAGAACGTGCTAAGGTAAAGATCAAAGCAAGAGGTGAACGTTAGCCGGAACTTTTCGGCGCACGAGTTATCTTCGCTATTCGTGCGAAAAAGCAAAGGCTTAGGTTGGGATCAAACCAGCTTTGGCTAGAAAATTAGCCAAAAAACGCTGTTAAATACAACAATATACACGTTTCGCTTTGCACCGCAAACCGTCACTCTCGATGTGAGTCCTGCCAGAACTATCAGACGAGGTAAGCTCGAGCTATATAGGCAATGGCAAACGCCCACCCCACGGAGGCACCGTAACCGATCGCGCCGGCACCGCCACCCCGGCAGCACTCGTAGCCGCAGCAGTACTCGTAGTATCCACAGCCCCAGACGATTTCACGTGGACGAGTAACTCCGTCCTGAAAAGGCACTAGTTAGAATGTTGTATTTGTTTCACTTCATGATCCGATGTCGAAAAAATGGTGCTATGCCACAGTTGACCCAGCTCAAGCAAATACTGCCTACAGCAGTTATAATAATTTGTGCGCTAATCGCGTTATACCTATTTTATAACGATCAACAGAGCAGTTATTTGGTTAAGGCGGGTAGTATGTTAGGATCAAAATTTCTATCATCGGTACTATCTTACAAGGTTAACTCGCCCGTGAATTTCGCTAAGAAAAGCAATTATTCAAGATAATGTCATATTAATCTCATACAGTACCATTCTTTAGGGTTACGGTGGGTATACGCTAGATGGGCAAACACATCGAGCTTGCTAAAAAAATTTGGCCAACCGAATTTCTTCATCATGCATTCACGATTATAATAGCATTTTTGCGAAAAGGAAAGTCTTTCCATCAAGGGGGGGGGGGGAGGGGTAGTAGTAGCATCTATCAAACGCAGCTTTGCAAGAAATCTCTATCGAACGAATATCATAGTCAATCAGTATGAGGAACAAACTGTTAGCAAGTTTGAAATTCTGATCCACCTACTGTATGCGCACCGCAATTTTGAAAAGCGTATCAAATTAATTTTTGAGTAATTTTGCGAAAACGATTTTGATTTCTGTTCAAAAAATTCGGAAAGAGCTCTCTGGGAACCTACTCTTCAGAGCGCTTTTCACATTGTCTGACACCAAAAACGATATTCTTTGGGTAGCTTTTACGTGAAAGACAGAATGCAAATCAGACGTAAGCTCGAGTGATCGCATAATAGAATTTGCACCGATATTATATTCGCGATCCACCATCGGCTGTTACTGTTCTTGTTTTGGAAATTATCAACATACCGGTTGATAGATGTTGCCAAATTGAGGGTCGCTGGGATCAATCGGCATCCTGCACATATTTTCGTGCCCTCTTGTTGGACGATAATAGTTTGCTCCCCAGTAATAAGGACGATTGTTCCACCTGGAATGCGAAGCATCAACAATCAATCGTATTATCCAGAGTATGCTACAAGAAAGCTCAGCAATTTTCTTACATCATAGGTCCCGCCATTGACCGGATGATGGCTCGTCCTGCTTGGTAGGTAAGGTATCCAGCAGCAGCACCGACGATCATGTTCTTAAATGTGTTCGAGCGAGAACGCGATCCGATACCGTGGGAGGAGAATCTTAAAACTACCAAAGTAGAAGCGTTAATGTAGACTGTACATTCAATTCTATATTTCTATAGCACTCCTTGATAGTATATCGCACTGGGACGGAACAGTTTGTTAGTACATAAATATAATGAATATTTTAGACCTATTGCGACCAAGACCGCCGCCGAGCCCACCACCAACACCGAGGATGCTACCAAGTCCAGACCTCAAAGCATTTCAGAGAATTATGGGTCAAATGCTTCTAACTAAAGGCGTGAAGCAATATAGATAAGTAAATAATAAGCAAAGCTGATTCACGAGACTAAAACCCACTGAAATCAGAATTTAATACATCCATTTTCAGCCTTCTGCTGTACAACGATGCCTTTCATGTCTCTTTTTAAAAATTAACTGGACATTCAATCACGAATCGAGAATAGGCGTTTCTTCCAAATCGGGATGACTAATCATCTCCCGCACTAGCTCGAGTGAAACGTAGCTTAGGCTAATGAGTTACTCTTAGTGTAATTTGTCCGTCAATATCCCAAAGAGCACCTTTTTTGCAAGAAAACCACTAGATAAAAAGCAATGAGGTTTTTCTCAACCAAAATGTGTTATAAGCTTCAAAACCAAATAGATCTTCGAAAAAAGTTCAGCGAGGCAACGAAGGACACAAACATTATACAGGGTGTCCCAAAAAGATGTGCACACTGTTTGGTCGTTAATAACTCTCCTGCTTTTACGTCTTTTGCCGAGATTGATATACCATTTTGTAGAGCGTGGTTCATCTTAGATTCGCACTATGGAGCGAATCATCAATCGCTCTTCATTACTGTACAATTACGGTATAAACTTTCAGCACACATCGTCACTGTAAATTAGGCCTTTTGATAAAATAATTTCAAAATCTGAAATTAGTGTAGCAAGGTTTTCAGGCGTGCTGATTTCACTGCATAACTTTCCACCAGTTTTGTGAGCTTTCTTGATGGCGTATTCACATTTCTGACGAACATTGGAAAAGCAGTTGTTACCCTAAATCTGAAATAACTCATAAAAGAAGCCCTATACTGAGAAGCAATTTTCATACTTGGAATCAGCGACTTTAGTTGGACCAGTACAAGAGTTTCTGGCTTGTTTGGTTTTCGTTCTAAGGCAAAAATCACTTTCGATGGCTTAAAATCCTCCTCGAAGTTTCTACGTAATCCTACAGTAATGAAAAGCGACTGATAATTCGCTCCATACTATAAATCTAAGTTGAATCTCACTCTAAAAATGGTATCTACCTCAAGCTCGGCAAATGAAAGCAAGAGAGTTATTAATGATCAAACAGTGTGCACATCTTTTTGAGACACCCTGTATAAACAAAAAATTTCTCAAGACTACTGTGTAGTTGAGGTAAAATGAAGTTTATACTGACAAGAAATGCATGTTTAGTCGAAGTGGCCTCTTAAGATGGGATGTATACCATAGAAGGACATAAAATGCTGTCTCCAAATCTGCTTTCCTTATCTGCCGAGCGTTCATGAGCGAGGAGTTATGAGCGCTTATGAGAGTTGAATGTGCAAGTACGACAAAAATAGCCGCAGTACTTTTGCTAGCTCTTTAATGGAGCAGTGATAATCATCAAAGCACTTTATTCAAAAAATACTCTAAGATAAAAAAAATATTTCGCACTTGGTTGCATTATTTGAGGGCTAGTAAGATTCTAGCAACTCATTTTATCCAAAGTGCTAATTCAATTTTTGGATTCAAAAAACGCTCACAACTCCTACTCTTCCATAAGTGTTCTGCAGATAAGGAAGGCAGATTTGGAATCAGCGTTTTATGCTTTAAGTTATGGTATACATCTCATTTGGAAAGGCCACTTCGACCTAACAAGCTTCCCTTGTGAGAGTATGAGGTATAAAGCGAGAGCAAACCCAATATTGTTTGCAACAATGGTAAAAAATGCATTATAAGTTGCGGAGATCTGGTTCAAAGTTTTTCATTTTGTTCTTGTGATTATTCATCTGTCTATAGGCTCTGTGACAAACTATCATAGAGATACGAAATTTGCACGATGTTGTACCATATTGGGGTAAAACTATATAAAACCCTTTTCAAACATTTCTAAGCGTATAAAAATTAAGAATATCAGAAATGTTTAGACGATGTATGGAATACCAAGAAAATTCGTAACATTGATTATAAGCAAAAGTGCTTCAAGTTACTACAAATCCAGTGGCGGACCGAGGGGGGGGGGGGAGGGGGCGGGAATGAGAATGGATCGCAAAATTTTTGAAATTTACTTACGTGAGTTATAAAAATGTGCAAGTGACTTGTTTATTATTAACAATTAAATTGATTTTTAAATTTTTCAAAAATTTTCCAGATTTTAGAGGTTGGGGACGCGCAAAAATTTTGAGAAGCACCCCCAAAAATTTTCGCAGCCCACCCCCCGCCCCCCTCTCCCTCCCCCGGACGGGAATCCTGGGACCGCCACTGTGCAAATCTGAGGGCATTAAGTGATCAGCATCACGATATAGAGCTTACAATGTAAAAGACTCACTTTGGACTATGAGAACGACCACCCCATCCGCCGGCTCCGACTCCTGGAAAGGACATTGATCAAATAAAAGGAAAGATCATGCAGTTTTATTTCCCGATTGATAATTTACCTTGCTGACGGCCCCATCCGCCACCGGCGGCGCCCCACCCACCGTGAGTCTGGTGTGGTCGTTGCTGGTGAACTGAAGACAGAATACATTTGATGACAGTTGATCGTGATCGAAATTCTCTTATGCAACCCACTTCCTCCAAGGTTCCTATGGTACGCATTACCACCACTGCTTCGGATCGGAACTGATCCTCCACCGAAAAGTCCGCCACCCATTCGGGCAGCGGAAGACCCCCTTGCCCGAGTGCCACCCAAAATTCCTCCTCTTCTACCATCGAGAGGAGGCAAAAGGGTGAGGAATATAATTGCGATCAAAAACCACGCCCGGCGAGCTCGCATCTGGAAGAAATGGGTAATCAGATATCCTTTGTGAGCGATGCACGCTAGAAGAGTGCAAAGATGGAAAGAGAGCGAGGAGATAATGAGCATACGGAGTCGTTTACACCACATGGTATGAGACATGTACTTATAAAAATTTTTGGGATGAGTACACAATACAAAGAAAAGAAAACAGCAGTCAAGAAATGCACAGAAGCTGCAATTATACAAATAAAGCCATGCTGCAATTTTCATACTAAGCATTCTATGTGAAACGATCCATGTATGCTCCAGCAGCTTTACGTGGAAGCACTATTAGAAAGATAAATAATAATCCGAGAAAAATCGAAATGGTCAGCTGAGCCTCAACATAAATGTGGTTCAATTTCGCATACCTTCTCCGATCTTTTAAATGTCGAGAGCAGTTCTGGCTTATTCCGAGCACTATCAGATTACGTGACGAGGCAAACTTTTAATTAATTAGTTAAAAGTTCTTTTGAAGATAAGATCAAAAGGCAAAAACCAGAGCTGGAGTAAGCAATTCTTATTCGCATCTTTCGAGTACTCAACTATTTAACGTTATCTATCGAAATCGAAATTTTAGTCAGACTTGTGGAATGATCCGTGTCAGGGCTCGGCACAACTGGCAACGGGTCAAGCTAAATATCGTTTTTGTGTCAAAAAGCAAAGGAGATATCGTTTTTGTAGTCGAAAAGACCTAAAAATTGCGACATTTTTTAAGTCGACGTTCCTTTTTGGGAAGAAGGGTTAGTTTAGGATTTAGGGTCAAAGGGGACCTCATACGAAATTTTTTCAGATCAAAGGGGACACCATTCTGAAATTTCCCTGGGCCAGCTCGTGCCGAGCCCTGGCTCGTGTGCCTGAGTAATAATACTACCAATTTTTAAGAATATCAGGATAGGAAGCTATTCGCTTGTTATGCCAAAGTTATGCAGTTTCGCGAAAATCAAAGTATACACCTCCGTCAGGTTTCATGAAAATGACAGTTAGTGCTTTCGTCAAAACCTTTCAGAACTACGCACAGTTTTTGCACCCGAGTCTAGTCAAGAACGCAGACTAAGCTTTTCATTTACAGCAACGGGACAAGCATGAATATGTAGAAGCCAATGCAGAGAATCAGGACGACGACATACAACAATTTATAGTATGGAAATTTTCCATTAAGAAGTCACAACATGACTCATCACCCGTAAACGGAAGAAAAAACTCATGATGAAATTGGAGAAACAAGTGAAGGAATGTAATAGGAGCCATTAAGATGTGACTCGTATCTAAACGACTTAAATGGAACAGGGCTTTATACAAAATCTACATGTGCTTTTTTTGAGAAAAAACACTTTGGACAAGCAAAATACACCTTAGCTGATAACGTCTAAAAGAATGCAATTTCTTTGGCAATGATTTGTTTTTTTTTGCGTTATATGCTATCTGATGATAATCGCATTAAGGTGCTTTACATGCAAAAAACTCAAACATCTTTATTCATTGCCCAGTTCTGTGAGAGCTGCAATTATATGAAAATTTATGAATTTCACCTAAAAAAAATTCTATTAGTTTGACATAATTCAGAAAAGGAAAGACATGAGCTCTCTGGTTGTTCTTAGAAAAAAAATTGGCTGTCAGAGTTTGAGACTATCACGACTGGATCTGAAAAAATTGTAAGGTGCAAAAAAGGATTGAATTTCTAGTTTCGTTATGACGTACTTTTCTCCAACTAGAAAAATCCATGCTGATCAATATCTCTGCAAGCGGGTTATTTCGAGTCTTTTTTTGATAATTTTTCAACTTATTAGACATAAAATTATAATCCTATTAAGGCCCAATTCTTTTATATCACAGTAGCACAGATAGCAAAAAATCAGACTCATAGTACATGTTTGAAAACGCACCAGTATCATGGATAACAAAAATCAAAGAATACCTTCACACGTTTTTTGTACAATTTTTACTCAATTTTTTGGATTCTTAGGTGAAAACTTAAGGCAACCAAATCTTTAGAGACACAAATCAATTTGCACAGTATATTGAAAACATAAATACCCGATCAATCTCTCATCTCGATGAGATGCCAATGATAACAATGATCACTGGTGCTTGACATTCAAAAGCGCATAATCAGCAGTCAAAACAAAATCTCCGCACTAACGACGATAGACAGTGTGGCCAAAATAGTGCATCAACAAGATTTACACTATTCGTCTATATATTCAACAATGTTTGTTCAGTCACGCCATTTACCAGATGATTCAGAGTTTTCGAGAGTTCGGAAGAACAACAAGTGAACTATAGCTTAGGCAGCTATTACACTCAATGCATAGAGTTAAACAAGTCTAAATTTAATTTCGGCAACGACTATGGAAGAATATAGAGCAAATTACTGAATGCTTTTCCCCCATACCTTTTGCCTGAACAATCGCGGTTCTAATGTAAAAAATAACTCCATCAAGAGCAAATCTTACAGAGATGAGCTGACATATCTAGCAAATCAACTCTGTAAAAAATGTAGTGATGTAACGCCATCCATGAATGTTGACAGCTAAGTTATCAGACAAGAACACAATGTTTTTTAATCAAATAAAAATGTTGACGGGTACTAGACCAGGTGATAAAAGCCAACTTAGTTTTTTAGCTGCCGTTAAACCACTCGTGATGTCAGCAGATACTTCATTTCTTGATTTTCTGACTCGAAACGACAGGCGAAGAACAAAAGAAATATAACGATAAGGAATTTCATGATGGGTACGATAAAAGCACTCAAAATGACATCAACATTACTTTAATTTGGATATCAAACCAATAATCTCTTATGAAGGGACGTAAAAATTTCATGAAGAGCGTTTTTTACCGAAGTGTCTTTAACATTGTATATCATCCGTAAAAAATCAATGTTCCTCGATGAAATGACATCTAGAATGCCAGATAGTAATGTGACTTTTGGTACACATAACGTTAACGAGTACTAGATTGATAACAATGAACATATTTTTCATCTGTCGTAATTTGTTGTTTTTCAACTCAGAACGACAGGAAGAGGAATAAAAAGCTGCGACAATGAATATACGAATGGACAAAAACAATTGAAATTACGAAAACTATATCTATAGTTGATGAACGTTCTCTCTAACTTTCATTATGAAGCCAAGGGCCTCGGGTTTTATAAAATTCAAAACTGTATCGAATATTAATCCATCAAAATGATTTGATATTGCCTGCTAGGTTTATCCCAAAAAGAGTTAACGTTGATGACTACGATGAAGTTTTGCATAGTGTAAAATGGTGACGGATACTTGGTCAGCTGATAGCAAACAACATTTTTTTATTCCATTGAACTGCTTGCCACGGCAATAACAACATTTTGAACTATGCGAACTTCATCTCGTTCGAAAATTAGCTTTCTGACACAGAACGACGAACTGAAGAGACAAAAAAATTCTGCAATAATATGTAAAGAAATATAAATATCAAACAAACTAAGAAAATTTTAGAAAAATCAGAATAAAAAATTAAATACAGAAATATTTGAACAGGAGGTGACAAGGCTAGTGTAAAGCAGAAATTGTGAAAATAAGATTGCTAATGTGAAATTTCTTGACACTCGAGCTTTACAACTGTAAAACCAAGAAGCTCTGGATCAATGCAAGCTTTGACGCCTTGATGTTGTTTACATCTTTTTTCTGGGGATTTGAGAAAGATGTATTGGGAGCACGACGTCCATCAGTTGTTCGGCAGTAGTAGATAAGAACGAGGCGGTCGATAACAGGAAGCATCAGACACCAGCTGATGTCAGCCTTCCTGAGTAGAGCACTTGGCTACGACCTTAGTTCAGGATGCTTGCGAAATGAGCGCTCGATGAAGGCACAAATTTTTTGGGAGGAGAGAAAAAAACCGAGGCTTCAAACTACGGGACATGATTCTTGACTAGGTTTTATTTTTAAAAAGCGAAAGAAAAAGAGAAATCCCTAACTATGATAAGAATTCCGTATAGAAAGTCCTAGTATTAGTCACTTTCTCCAATTGAAATCGTAGTACTTCAAACTGGAAGCTTCTCTGACTTTCTGCAAAGTAATGGATGGGGTCAGCCACCCTTCAAAAAAAAGTTTCGTTGGACTATTTTGATTCTTGCAGCTGAAATATTTACCTCGATTTTTGGACAAAGAACGGAAATTAGCCGCAAAATTTTGGAAGTAGTCTGCATGAATTACGAATTTGTGCAAATGGTTTGTTTTGCTTGACTAGATCGGAAAAAAAGTTTATTAAAATTCTTGAAAAATATCTAAGAGCGTGTAGGTGCACGTCCTTTTCTGAAATTTTGTGGTTCTAGACACACAAAGGAGCATGAAAAATCCTACAGAAAATTGAAAAGCGTCCTTTAGAATTTGCGAAGGATGTGACCTACATCCCCGTTTAATCAAGTAAAAATTCTAACGCTCTCTGCCTAGTTGTAAACATGAAAATGAGATTTTTTCCTGAATTCAAAGCTCACGGCAACAGTTGGCAAAGATTGAACTGTTCAAGAAATAAATGTTCCTACTTTTTTGCACATATGAGAGGCTTTTCGACCAGACACTTTGGCACGCAATGGCAATTACATTGCTGCAATATCCACCAGAAACCAGAGCCTCCGGCCGAGATGAATGTGCAAAATTTGTTTTTCTACTGACATTCGTGCCCATTATATTTGGATGCAAATGCAAGCGAATGAAAAGAGAACAGTACTAAACGGAAACGCTCCAATAATTTTTCGATGTAAACGATGTTGACGAGCGAATTATCGATGGGAGAAGAAGAGTGTGTTGACTACATGAACGTGATGTGTTTTGAGGCATAACTGATATGCGTCGCTCACCAGGCGGCTGATAACCGAGTGAAACTGACAAGTTCGCTGGCAAAGCATTCAAAGAGGTGATTCATTCAGAATTAATAAGAAATGATAGTCAAAGAAATTTTGCTGTTTGTCCTAGCTTTTGTTGAGTCAGCATTACGTCAGCTTATTGGCAACACA